GATAGAAGCCAAGCCAAGAGAGAGCTTTCCTGTTTGAACGAACTGGGGGAAGAGATGCTTCGCATTCATGCTCTAACTGCTCAAGCTCTTGGTCTATCTCAGAAATGTGCCAACTTTATGCATCAGCGCACTTGATATATATACGGCTCTAGGTCAACATCAAGCAACAGCGGCATATCAGGTAAGCGAGGGTCATGGGCGTCAACTACTGTGGTGGAAAGTTCCCTTCCGATAAGAGGTTCTGCTGATGAAATACTCCTACAATACATTGCCCTCTTGTGCTTTTAAAGGCGTCAGAGGATATAAGTATGCTTGAAGCACCTGAAGAATCATTGTTTTGCGGGCCAGCCGGTGGTGTCTCTGGATCTCCCAGAGTCCCAAGTAAATCTTGCCGGCCCGGTTGCAAGCTCTGCTACTACCTATTTCCATAGTACTTGACACTCTCGTGGGACACTTGTCCCTTGTGTGGTTTGCCCACTAGATCATCATGGATCAAGGGGCTCATTCTTGTGACGATGTGGGAGATGGTCAGGCATCGCCGCCGAGTAGATCTGAATCTCAGCCCCAAAATACCCAGGACGAGCACCATGAACGTGGAAGGCGTCGTCGGACCGGTCCCGAGGACCCATGTCTGATCTGTCTTGATCCGCTGGGGATGAACACAGCTGTGCTGGAATGGTGTAGAGCAGAGTGCGGTACAACCTTCCACATAGCCTGTTTGTTTACTTGGTGGCGCACATCTGAACATGAAGGGATGACCTGCCCTGCCTGTCAGTGTCATTGGCTTGATGTGGACAGGATTAAGGAATGGAACACTTGATTTCCTGCCGTTGTCGAGGATACACATTTTGTAGTCGTCGTGCAATTTGTTGTCACATGATTGCACCAGACTCATGGTTAGCCACATACCAAAATAAAGCCAGGCTCCTAGTCCAAGGCTTGAAGTATGAACCAATCTAAGCTTTGTTATTGCATTAATCGTCCCAAAGAAATAACCATACAGATTGGCTCTACCACGGCGTTGTGGACCATGTTATCTCACTTTACGAGAGATTGCTTGTCCCGGTTATGCATATTCTACAGGCACTGTATGTCCTGATCGCTCCCTTGCTGCATGGGAACTATAATGCAAGCTCGTGTCTAGCGTTTGTTCGTGTCTAGCGTTTGTGGGGTACTCCGCCAGCCAGAGCCTCGAGAATATCATTTACCACCCTTTGTGGGAGTGGTCTCATTCGAGATCTCCCAGACATTAGTACACAGCGGGAGGTAGTGACAGGGCAAAGTATGCATCGGCTCATTGGTCATGGGAACCCTTCAGGTCAACACCCGCCACACGGAGCGAGAATGCCTCGATAACAGTCCTATCCACGTAGGCAGACCGCTTGGACCCCTTCGATGATGTTTCGAATAAGAATAGGCTAAAACACCACAACGTGGCGCACATTACAGCAAGTGTAGCTGGTTGGACTTGGTGATTGCACTTACGAAGATTAAGATTAGATCGGTAGTACAATTCCCTAGGTCGGAAGCTACAAAGTCGAGTATGGCATGAGTTGAGCCGATTGGCCGGTCGATCGTATACTTCGCGCTACGGCAGACGTGAAAGTCCATCCTGTTTTCGTCTGGACGCTCCTGGGCTATCGCAATACATTTTCCACCGGTCGGTGGATCACTCGGCTACTCAGCAATGCTGGACTGCACACGAGTAGTTCGAGTCTAGTGTGAAGACGCTGAGTGACCTACTCGGTGGATTCATCAAGTACATATAAAGTACAACGGCCGTACGATACGGGCTGCAGGCCTCGGATATTGATATCACTCTTGCGACCCGTCGAATAGAATTCTTGGCTTTCCGGGTGTCAGGATCGTGCGACTGCGCCTCTTGCGAGTGTGTATCGATCGGTCAAGCACACAAAGAGAGTGCCTCGAGTAACGATCAGTCTGCACGACGGAAGGCTTGCAGTCCCCGAATTCGGCTTCCCGGGTTCCGTGCTTCAATGGATCGGGCCCATCCGAGCCGTGGTGTGGGGTCAGGCCAGTACCGCTGCTCAGGCCGAGCTGGTTCGACGCATGTGTCCGGTCGTCGTGTATGGCAGAATGAGCATTCGAGCAATAGAATCCGAGCGATGAAAAATGGTGGAGCGTATAGCTGGGGTCTCTGACAAAAAGAGATATGCGACACCTGTGAGATTCGAACTCACGCGGGCGAACCCACTGGCTTAGCAGGCCAGCACCTTAACCACTCGGTCAAAGTGTCTAATTATTGGCTTTTGAAATGGAGCGGTGTCTCTATGGCCCGCTGTTTGATAAATGATGGATAGCTTTTGTCGAGGACAAAAAAGATATCGACACCTGTGAGATTCGAACTCACGCGGGCGAACCCACTGGCTTAGCAGGCCAGCACCTTAACCACTCGGTCAAAGTGTCCAATTATTGATTACGTCAGTGATTCTTTGTAACATGACTCTCTAAATTGAAGCTATCATTCGTCGACTGGTAGCTGTTTTGGTACACAACCTTGGAAACAAGATATGACTTCTTGATGCGCACTATATTTGCTGTCTTGTTGATCTAGATAATAGGTATGCTTTCAACCTCTATATTGTATAATATCGTGATTTTCCTAATCTATTTCGATTGGTCCTGGGCTGTGCATTTTCTGGTCAGGTGTTATATCGTCGTGGGTGCGGGAACATACCTTTCCAGCGGTGCACTGTATCCGCCGTCAATGGACGCGCGCGGTGTAGATACAGACCGCCTCCATCATGGTGGAGTGTGTAGGACGAGCAGGGTACATGGTGGATCTCGAGAACCATCATTTCACATCCACGGTCGGCGAGGGTCCAACCATTTCGCGCAATTGACCGTGGTTTGAAAATGGCAACTACTGCCCAAGAACGCCCTCACCCGATGCCAATATATAGTACGACGACAATGTAAAGCTGCATGAACCAGCGACACCAACCAAACGGCACAACCGAGAAAGAGTTGAAGACACACGACATATGGGCAATGACTGGTCGAAGGTGGTCACACCATTTCTGCCAACTAGAACTGTACCCATGCCGGGCACTCTGGCCTCACCAGGCTAAACCCGAAGCCGGAGACGATTTCTACCACAACCCAAACACAGATGACAGAATTTAGCTGTACGGTGCATCGCAGCCGCCCACGCAGATTAGCAACGAGCCAACACACCAAGCCGAGTCTCAAGGTCTAGAGATAAGCTTGAATCCATGGCAGACCACCAACCTGACCGGATCCCACCTAATGTGCAACACAGCACACATGGGACACTGGCCCTAACCATTGAGCGAGAGACTACAAAGGGCATCAACCCATCGGAAGATTTGTGGCCGGCGATAAATAGCCAGAGAAGCATACACCCGATAGCTACACGAACCAGCTCGCATAAAAGGCGTGCCGGTCTGAAAGCAAGGTATGGCCGCAGCGATGCCGGCCCTTGTAGCTCGTCGTAGATACGATGACGACGATGACATGCAAGAACTCCAAAAGTACAACCACCACCGGTCACGGAGGTTTCATGTATACATTTACCAACGCCGTGTAGTCCTGGAATGTATGGGACATGAAACTCTACCATATGACATGAGACCAAACAAAGCTAGCGAACTTGTGCCAATGGCGGATAATCTTACAGGCGATAGAATCATTGAACAAGTGCAGATTACACATACATGCTATATAAGCATTTAAGAGTCATGTAATTCCAGCAATTAGACACTTTGACCGAGTGGTTAAGGTGCTGGCCTGCTAAGCCAGTGGGTTCGCCCGCGTGAGTTCGAATCTCACAGGTGTCGATTTTTTTTTCTTTTTGCATTCTCCCATGTCTTCAGGAACAGCCCGGTCCAGCCAGGCCTCGCACATCCTCGTGTGCTCTAACCCGACCTAAAGGCGAGAATAACCATGTAGCACTCATATCTAGCCGGACGGCGACAGGCGCCTCTCAACCACATCACTGTAGCCGCAATTCGCAGCCGACAGTATCTCAAGTCACGCAGATGCCAATATAGCCCGGGCGGACACCTGCGTATCTACGTAAGACACCGTACCGTGACTACAGCAAGGCCAAGGTACATCTACCAGGTACCCCGCTTACTCCATTGGCCTATATGACTCCGAGACACCCGACAGATCGATGCATGTCGATAGGGGCCCAATGTGCCAGCATTGGTCGTCAAGATAGAGTGTTTCATGCTAAGCGATGGCCCAGAAAAGTGGTAGCAAGCTGCATCATCCTAGCCCAACACTAATGATAGGTCGACTTCCCAGGTCTTTTTTTATTTTTTTTTATTTTATTTTTTTTTCCCTGTCGCCGGAGCCATCAAAGCTGGGGCCGTCCGCTCTCACAGGACTTATGATGATTTCGTACTGAACCGCCGAGAACGAGTATCGGAGAAAGGACGGGACCACACAGGAGAGATCAAATCAAAGCATTGGTAGCCGTCTCCAGGCATTGGGCTGAATTGACAACTGCGCTGCCAGCAGCGAGGTGGAAATTGATCGACGCCATCGGTGAGAAGGGCAGGCAACGTTTGACTCGGTGATTTGGTGAGAATCGAGGGTGCCAATCACATAAGCCAGGACACATATAGTCATCGACATCCTCTCCGAAAATGGCTATAAAAAGAGAACAGAATCGCGACAACCGAAAAAGAAAAGAAAAACCAAAAAAAATGGAGGCCTAATTTGATGTACAGTATACGTACTCGGGGGTGCTCGTGGTGCAGCCCCGCCTGACGCAGGAGGAAGAGGAGAAAGAGGCAGGGCCGGGCTGGTTAATTAGTAGTTGGTCTGCCAGCCACCCGTTTATATTATTCTTCCTCCCCACGGCCCCCCAGTTCATCATCGCAGTTCAATCCTCCCTCCCTCCACTTGCACTTTGCGCCAATATCCATTGACACCGACGTGTATTGACATTCCTTTCATCGCATGCTCCACGTCTCCAGCCTGCATTTATTCATTGTTTTGCCACCAGTCAACAACACCAGAGCCCGCGTTTCGTGGCTTGTGTAACACCGCACTCAAAGGGAAGTGTATACTTGCTTCCAGCCCGCCTGTAATTATACTCCGCATCGGCACATTGCCCGCCGACGTCGCGCTGCAACATTACCCATACTAGAGGTCGCTCGCTGTCATAGCCGACTATGCGATCATAGGTATAGGCTCAAATTGTTTGGTATACGCTATTCTTAGACGCAGGGCCAGTATATGCGGTCCTCCCTGTCTACAGCTGTGACGAGCTCTCCAAAAGTCGTCGATGCGGGCTTGCGCCACAGTGCAAGTCGCTCCTCAGACCACGAATCCATCCCAATCATAGCCACAGAAAGTATCCGAGCAACTGAGGGCGGAGACACTATGCCTTCCGATCAAGTGTCCAGCAACACCTCGCGTCCAGTCACATCGCATGGGCGACAGCCATCCCAAGGATGGTTCACCGCCGAGCACGAGCCTGATGGGGGGAGCTATCCGAAGAGCGTGAAGGATCAAGGCATCCCTCTCGTGCCTTACATCCCCCAAAGGCCACATGGCAATCGTACATCCCGCTCAGGTTCCACAAACACCAAAGGCCGAGGTAAAACGCACCCAGAAGAGGTCATGGGGCGGAAAGACAGGCTACCGACGCTAGAGCCGTCCCTCTGGTCCGAGGAGAACGAATCGCCACAGGCCACCGGCATCAAGCGACACAGAGGTGATGGTCCCAAGCCCCCAGTCTCCGAAAGCCAAGCATCTCCCCCGAGCCGGTCGAATACGCGGCGATCTACAGCGGACCCTGGACAGTCCTTGGCCTCGGATCGCTCGCCCCTTCAAATGCTAGAGGTATCATTAAAGGAGAAGAAAAGAGCACGGGTGCTGGAGGCTGAAATGAAGCTCAAAGAACGAATGCAAAGGGAGGCCGACGGCCGAGCACCAGCATCCTCGCAACCCCCAAATCGGGCCGATACAAGAGTAGCAGGCCGCGAGGACGCTCCACGAGCCATGAGTGGACAGGTCCCTAGACACAACCAGTCTGCTGCACCGGGTACGAAGCGGCCGGAACACCGACGCCTTGCTTCTGAGCCCCGAGCCGAATATGGTCCCCTGGAACAAAATCCATACGAAAGGCCCAGACCATCCCGCACCAGAGCCCCTTCTCTACAGGACCCAGCGGCATACGCGGTTGACGGGGGGGCCTATCCCAGCACTAGACAACCGAGCACGGCGGTATTGAACAGAGGCACCGCCCCTAGACGAACGGTTACCGTAAGTCACAGACCTGCAGGGCCTCCTATGGGTCCACGGGCGATGAACACAGGCAGTCACCAGGATTCGCGAGCTCATGCCTCCGCTGCCTCTGATTCAACCGAACCTAAACAGGATAAGATGGCGCCCTATGGCAGAAAAAATGTGCCCAGTCAAATGGAATCCAGCAAGCCGGGGCCGGGACCGCAAGCACAGCATGAGTCTGTGGCTCAAAAAGGCAGACCATTGCCACAAGCTGGTCCAGCTGCAGGTCCTTCGCAACCAAAGACAACGTTCCCTCAAAGTACTGCAAATAACCTTGCCGGAGTTGCTCCGGAGCTGTCTATTCCCTTGGGTGCTGACATGAGCGCCGATTTGAGCCGTGAGACTTTCGCTACAGAAACGAGTGCGCCGTCAAAACCCAAGGTCTCATTCAATGTGCCACCGCCCACACCTCCTCCACTATCGGAGTGGAAGACCGCACAAGTTGCCCGACTAGGAGCTTCCGACTTTGACTTCCAGCGACTCGATGCCGATCGAAGCAAGACCTGGTGGGAAGGTGCAACGAGCAATAATCGTCGACGCAGCAGGGCACTCCCAAGCGACTTCACGCAGAGAACACCGGCTCAAAAATCAGCAGGTAAGCTCTCTGATGGGGATCCAGAGAAGGTTCTTCAAGTACTGATAAGCATTGTCGTTTAGGTAGCAAACGCTTCCAGCCGCCGATATTCCTTAAATGTGGGCCTCTACTCCGGTATGGCGGACTAAGGCGAGTCCGCATTGACGGGCCCAATGGGCCATTTAACAAGGAGACATGGAGAGGTAGCATCCTTATTGTGACCCAAGATTCACGCTCGTCTTATGAGCCATCCCCTACCCTACGAATATTCCCGCAACCAATGGATCTGCTCCCCCCTCCACCAGTTCAGGTAGATGGTGAAGAAGCTCGCCTTGCACCTGAGTACGTTGATCCTACGGCAGGGTTGATGAAGCTGGGACGAGACGGGCGGCCTCTATATGTCAAACCAGTGGACCATATCGATGAAGAGACAGACCTCTCGGTTATCGAGAATGACGATGGTCTATTTGAGATGTCCCCAAGCATGGTCGACTACAGCAGTGAGGGTGTCAAGCAACCTGTTCCCGCCAATCGACTCCACTCCATGGACGGAGAAGTCGCTGGAAGCTACACTGAGGTCACTGGAGCCCGTCTCTACGCGGACCCAGGGCGAGATGTGACGTTCTGGAGGTTCAACATCGAGGTTGAACTAGGCCCTACCGAACAGCGGATTGCTTATAGGCTGAATCAAGGACCTGCCATAGGGTTCTGGGTTCCCGCACGTGGACAGTCAATGAACATTGTGTTCCATACGGGCAACGGTTTTAGCGCAGCTGTCAACCCCAACAAATTGTGTGGGCCTGATCCTTTGTGGCGTGACATATTGACTGAGCACCAGACTCAGCCCTTCCACGTGATAATTGGGGGAGGTGACCAGATCTTCAACGACAAGGTCATAGCAGAGACAGCCCATTTCCAGGAATGGGTAAAGATCAAAAGCTTGGGTGAGAAGTATGACGCTTCATTTACAGCCGAGTTTCGAGCCGAGCTGGAGGACTTTTATCTTGGAAATTACTCAGCGTGGTTCTCGCAAGGGCTCTTTTCCTTGGTTGGCTCCCAGATTCCCATGGTGAACATGTGGAACGATCATGAGATAATCGAAGGATTTGGATCCTACCCAGAGGAGTTCATGAACTGTGCTGTCATCTCGGGTCTCGGGAATATCGCATTCAAGTACTACCTCTTGTTCCAACATCACAGCGTTCCCGAAGAGACCGAGGCTGAGGAGCCGAGCTGGCTTCTTGGAGCTCAACCAGGCCCATATATTAACCAAAAGAGTCGGCATCTATTCATGTCACTGGGTGACGGAGTATCTTTCCTTGGATTAGATTGCCGTACGGAGCGAATGGTAAGTCGATGGAATACCAGTATTGCGTCGTGCTTACTAACCCATGTGATGCTACAGACCGATGAAATTCTCAGCGAACAAACGTGTGATCTGATCTGGGATCGATGTCATCGTGAGATAACGAGGGGTGAGACCAAGCACTTGATTGTCTCTCTGGGTATCCCATTAGCGTACCCTAGAGTGGTATGTGATAGACTCAAAATCTCGGGGCGTACAAGCTTGCTAACAAGTTCGAAGGCAATGGTCAAGAACATTCTCAATAGCCGCAAGTCCCTGGGTAAAGCCGGACTTTTCGGCGGCTTGGTCAACAAGAATGGCGGCAAAGTAGAGATCTTCGACGACCACTGGACGGCTAAGCACCACAAGTCCGAGCGGACGTATTTGATCGAGGATCTGCAGGACTTGGCCGCAGAAAAATCAGTTCGAGTCACTATCCTGAGGTATGTTCTTCGAGTGGCGTATCCCACAAACAGCAGCTGACTGGTTTTCTTTCTAGCGGAGATGTCCATCTGGCCGCCGTCGGCCAATTCTACTCGAATCCGAAATTGAACATCCCTAGAGACAAGGACTACCGTTACATGGCCAATGTCATCTCGTCCGCTATTGCGGACCTGCCCGAGACGGAGATGATTTCCGACATGCTGAACAAGCGCAACCGGGTGCATCACATGGATACCAATACCGACGAAGACATGGTCCCGCTTTTCACTCATGATGTGAATAGCAAGCCTCGCAACAATAAGAGACTGCTACCTCGACGCAACTGGTGCTCCATCCGCCAATACCAGCCAGGTCGGTCAGCCCGAGCGACTGGTACGGAAGGTTTGCTAACATACTCCTAGGTTCTACGCCCCCAGGCACACCGCGGTTTGCTCTGAGACCCGGCGCGGAGGAGCCCCGCCCGCGTAAATTGAAACGAACGCTGTCACTGACCCGTGGGGATAAGCCTCCCAGCGGAGGCCTATTCCGCCGGCTTTCAGGCCGTGGCCCGCCACCCACGAAAGAGTTCAATCTAGGCGAGGCCTCAATCGGCCGACGGATGAGCATGGATGGGCCCTTCACCTCGGCTGAAACAGGGGATGGCTTCCAGCCTGGATTTATAAAACGCCGGCCCACGAATGCTAGCCAGAGAATGGGCAGCCGTGCGGCTGGAGGGCTGGATGGATCGAGCAATATGGAAGAAGGCCTAACTATCACGCTCAATCTCGAGCTCAACCCCAAAGACCCAGCAGGTATCACGACCCCATATATACTGCTGGTCCCCGCGCTCCGATACGAAGGGATGGACTTTGACCTACCAGCGGCCCCGGTCGCCAAGGGGTGGAAGAAATGGTTGGGAGTCCGGGGCGCCAAGAGAGAGAGGTTGCCAGCGGAGGACACGGAGGTTGAGGATGACTATGATGACGGGATGAGCGACGAGGAAGATGAAGAGGACGAAGCTGGCTACGAAAATCCTCGCGAGGTATATGGTGGGGGAGTGGGCGAGGGTAGTAGTAGGATGGCCCCAGCCGGGTTGGTGGGTGCGAGTGTGGAAGATATGGAGGGGGAGGAAGAGAGCGAGAGGGAGGAGACGACTCCTTCGAAGCGAAAAAAGTGGTTCGGACGATCGAAATGAGGGGTGAGGGGTGATGATTGACGATAAGGACATGTACCTTGATGATGATATGAACGACCTGTTAGTTTAGTTAGGTTACTATGTAGATAATGAGATAATCTGATCGATAATCAATGGGGGTCTCGGCCAGCCGCCGCTTGGTAAGCCAGACACGTGACCGGGGCCTCGCCGCCGGTGATTTGTGAGAAATGTGAGAAATTCATTGTTGGCTGGTTGTGGTTTGATCTTGCTTTGGTCCTGCATGGATGTCTGTGTATGCATTTGACCAAAAACAAAAAGAAAAAAAAGACTTTAACCGCCCTTTCATAATTTTCCAAGTCTGGATCCGATTTGATAATTGCATCGGTTGGTGTTATTGTTAAGTGGACTGCCCTCTTAGCTAATCTCGCCCCGGCCAGCCCGACTTTCTGGTGGATTCGCTGCCCCTCCGTTCGGCTTCTCCCATCACTATTAATTCATTCTGCTTCCACCACCATCCTCCACTTACTTACTCCCTTTCCCCCTCAATTCTCACTTCCTTCTTATAACTTCTCCCTCTTCCCTCCCAAAACACCGCCAATCTGTTCTCCTCCGCCTTTCGTCGCTTTCCCTTCTCCTCCCTGCGTGCATCTCTTGGATTGACTGCCGCGGCCACTTCTTCGCTCCATCAAAAATCCTCACCTGCAACTTCCGCTCTCCCGAATCCCCTTTCGACGCCACTGCGCGTCAATCCTCCTTCATCCTCCAGAATGGTTCACACTAACGTCGTCAGTAAGTATTATCGCCTCAATTGGGCTGCCTGAAGCGGGTCTTAACCATCTTTTTGCCATTAGTTATCGGCTCCGGCCCCGCTGCGCACACCGCTGCCATCTACCTCTCCCGTGCCGAACTCAAGCCCGTCCTCTATGAGGGTATGTTGGCTAACGGCACCGCCGCTGGCGGTCAGCTTACCACCACTACCGACATCGAGAACTTCCCCGGTTTCCCCGATGGAATCGGCGGCGGTGAACTCATGGAGAACATGCGCAAGCAGTCCATCCGCTTCGGCACTGAGGTGATCACCGAGACCATCTCCAAGGTCGACTTCTCCCAGCGCCCCTTCAAGCTCTGGACCGAGTGGAACGACGGCCCCGACAACGAGCCCGCCCACACCGCCGATGCGGTCATCATCGCCACCGGTGCCAACGCCCGCCGCCTCGACCTCCCCGGCGAGGAGAAGTACTGGCAGAACGGTATCTCGGCCTGCGCCGTCTGCGACGGTGCCGTCCCCATCTTCCGCAACAAGCCCCTCTTCGTCATCGGTGGTGGTGACTCCGCCGCCGAGGAGGCCATGTTCCTCGCCAAGTACGGCAGCAGCGTGACCGTCCTCGTCCGCAAGGACAAGCTCCGTGCCAGCAAGACCATGGCCCAGCGTCTCCTTGCCCACCCCAAGGTCACCGTCCGCTTCAACACCGTCGCCACCGAGGTCCTCGGCGAGGAGAAGCCCATGGGCCTGATGACCCACCTGCGCGTCAAGAACGTCGTCTCCGGCGAGGAGGAGGTCGTTGACGCCAACGGTCTCTTCTACGCCGTCGGCCACGACCCCGCCACCGCCCTGGTCAAGGGCCAGATCAACCTCGATGAGGATGGATACATCGTCACCCAGCCCGGTACCAGCTACACCAGCGTTGAGGGTGTCTTCGCCTGCGGTGACGTCCAGGACAAGCGCTACCGCCAGGCCATCACCAGTGCCGGTATGTTTCTTACTTTCTTCACACAAGACTCTAACAACCCTTGCTGACCTCCCACTTCCTCCAGGATCCGGCTGCATTGCTGCCCTCGAAGCCGAGAAGTACATCGCCGAGAAGGAGTCCAACGACGAGGAGCCCGTCACCAGCGTCGAGAAGTCCACTGTCCAGCCCACCCAGGAGGTCAACGGCATCAAAAAGGAGTCCGAGGGTGCTACCGCCGAGTACAAGTCCAACCCTCTTCTCTAAGCGGTTTCGTCGAAACACAACATCCATCAATCACCGCCCTTTACAACCGCATCCCCCCCCCACCCTCTTCTCAATGCCTTCCATCGCATAGATCAGGTCTCCTTTTCCTAGACTAGACACACACCCCCATTTGTCACCTTGTTGTGTGCATCATACACACGGAGGATGATGATACCCCCTTGTCTCTTTTTCGTCAGGAATTCCTTCCTGCTCCGATTCTGTTACGGGTTTATATCTTAGACTTAGCGTTTTTTTATTTTTATTTTTATTTTTTTATTTTTTGCGTTTCAGATCTGATCTCATGTTTGTGATATACATACAACGTGATACACATACAACGTGATACAACACACGCACAACACAGCAGGAGGGTTGGTTGGGGTTTTCCTTTCCGTGGAATTTTAACGATGACTGGAACTGGATCTTCTGACTGTGGAAACACATTATTACAACAAGGATAGAATTAGAAATAGAAAGTCATGAAACCTCTTTTTGAATGTTCTTGCAGAGATAGTATAACACTAGATTCTACTAAATTTTCCTCGCTTAGGAATGAGTCGAGCCGTTCCACTCGCCGCTGTTGCTGAGCAGAAGGGAAATAGCTTGTATAGATGTAAGAGCGCTCCCGGCATTCGATACGGGAGTGCTGTTGGCCACGCTGCTGCTGGTGGTGTTGCTGGTGTTGTTGCTGATGCCGATCTGCCTAACCCCTGCAAGCACATCACCATTGGCCGAACCACCACTGGCCGCACCACCACTGGCCGCACCACCACTGGTTGCACCACCACTGGCCGCACCATTCGAAATTCCACCGGCGGCAGCATCTCCCAAATGAAAACCCAACTCTCGCTCCCCAACCCACCCGTCAAAAGGATGCTCCCGACACCACCGCTCCCGAACCTGCAGGGCGCGTTTCTCCCACTCGGCGACTTCGCGACGCCACTGCTCCATGACCGCCGCGTTAGCTTGCCGGTTGGCCTCGATCTGCTCGAGGTAGGGCCGCTTCTCGGCCGGGTCGGCCTGGCGCCACATCTGGCCCAGCGCCTGGCGGATCTCGTCGCGGGCCGCTTTGGCGGTGTGATCGTTGGTGGCTGCGCGCCGGGCTGCGTCGCACTGGGCGCGGCACCGGGCCCAGACATCCTTCTGGTAGAGGAGGAACGGGTTGAGGACGGCGCGCGCGGGTCGAGGCACGGGCGCACCGATTTCAGCGGTGACGGCTACCCACATTGCCTTGTCGTAGGCGGCGCGGCGGAGGGACTCGGGGGAGGGGTTTGGGTCGTTTGGGTTGGTAGCGGGTTGTTGGTTGGGGAAGAGTGGGTGGATGGAGGTGGTGGTGGATGGGGTATGATGCTGTTGTTTGCGCTTTTGGCCGGTGGTTGCGGTTGTTGTCGTTGGTGTTGTTGTTGACGGAGCGAGAAGGGAGTCAACCGGTGGGACGGCCTTGGCGCCCTTTTCTGGCACAAGAGGGGTGGGGATTTCGATAGGCCCGAGAACGCTGTCGATGATTTCTGAGGCTGCGCGTAGACCTGACAGGTAGGCACCGTGCACGGTGGCAGGGTGGGTGCCACAGGTGGCTTCGCCGGCAAAGTGCAGGTTGCCGATCGACTGGGCCATGAGATCGTAGTCGCCGGGAAGGGAGTGGGCGGCGACGAAGGAATAGCTTCCGCGAGTGAACTTGTCACTGGCCCAGCGGGTGATGATCGTTTCCAGAGGGTCCGGGACAGCAACGTGCTTAAACACGTTGCGGAGCTGGCTGGTCACTTCGGCGATGATCTCGGCGTCCGGGGTGCATTCGGCTTGGTGGGCGGCGTCACCGGCCATCAGGGCTATGAGCACAGGCAGACCGGTCGTCCGCATGCAGTTCCAGAAGAGGTAGAACCGACCTCGATTGGCGCAATAGTCTTCTTGTCTCATGCTGTCGCGGTTCTGGGGCTCGCGTAACAGACCAAACATGTCACGTTCCGTGTCCCAGAAGGGTTGGTCGAATACAAGAATCACCTTGTTCATGACCCCGAAACCTAGCCGGTCGATTGCCCCCAGTTTCCACTCGGGTAGAGGAGGGGAGAATTCGATGCTTCGGTGCTTGAGAACGCCCAGGGAGCCTGTGAAAACAACTTTGTCCGCCATAAAACTCTCACCGTCTTCACACTGGATGTGGGCTTTCTGTTTGCTGCGGCCAGTCGGATCATAAGAGATCCTGCAAACGACTTTGTTTGGATGTACGTCAAGCTTGGTTGGCAATGACCACAGCCCATATGGAAGCTGCTGGTATCCGCCGATGACCTGCGAGTGCTCCCCTTCAAACTCATTGCCCATATCCTGGTCCCACCCCGAGAGACTGAGCTTGCCGACGTTGGCTGCATTCGCGTATTCTAGATTGGCCATATGCCAATTCATCAATCGCATATCCTTCGGTGTCAGCGGCAGCATCTGCTGGTATTGCCGGACACCCTCATCTAAGACGGCCCCCAGAGTTTGATTCCGAGAGGCCTTGGCTATGGGATCTAGATTGATCTTTTCAGCATCTGAGACCCCAGGTTTCAGGCTCCAGCCCATCGTCTGACAAGCGAGCTTGGTTGGGTTCTCTTCGTTACTGTCCGCGTTTGCTGAAGGGGCACCGACTGGTTTGATTTCTGCTGTCTTGTGGCCCACACCTCTACGGATTTTTTTGGCAGGAAACAGAAGTCCAATCGTACCGGCAGCCCTGGCCTCTTCATATTGCCGGACGGTCAGGCCATCGTTGGTCACGATGTCACGACCGTTATCGATTAAGTCTCGCTCACCTTCCGCCGTCGGGACGATCACGGATTTGTGACGATAGCACCCCGAACGATCCAAAACATCATTATAGAGCATCTCAGCCGTTGCGTCTCGGGCTTCGTCTACCGCAGAGCCATCGATATCATAGATCGTTGATATATCACGTAACAGATGATAGGGGAGAGCTAGCTGGCCCCGAACGATCTGATCCAACGGATTGCCATGCTCAAACCCCACGATGATTTGCGCGCCCATTTCGGCTTTCGGCACCAGACCTGGAGCCAATTTCGAGGACTGCAGGCTGCGTAGCGGATGCGAGTAAATACGACCGCCAATCCTTCGCCTCCCTTCCAGGACAACCACCCGTGGAGACGAGTCGGCATCATGGTACTGGCGAAATAGTCCCTCCAATTGTCGCGCACAGCTCAAGCCTGCCACACCTGCTCCAATAACCACAATTACCGGGCCATCCCTCCGACGACCCTTTCTGGGGTTAGCCAGGGCGGCGGGAATCTCTACACACCCGAAATTGATATATCCATTCCTGATGAGCCATTCATAAGCGAACGAGGCAAGGTTCACCCAGCGGTAGTCTTTCGTACATCCTAGTGCTTCCTCTTTGGTAACGCTCACCATTGGGTTTCGCGTCCACAAGCGCAAAATCCCATTTCGGATGTTCAGATAGACAGTGACTTGAAGATGACACAGATGGTCCTGGAGCGCATCCTGCTCCTTCTTGTGCAGAGCGTAGGGATTGAGTCGAGAGGCATACGCTGCTTCAACGCACTGCTGAGCATATACGGCCGCAGGCATCCTCGGCGGAATCGACGATCGCGGGCGATACTTTATGGGAATCGGGATGCGATGCGGGCGGTCCTTGGGTTCGGTTGAAATCGAAGCAGGACCCAAGGATAGAGCGCCAGTCAGTGTTGTGGACGGCGAGTCAGACTTTGATTGGCTAGCACCGGAGGAGAGGCTTGAAGAGTATGAGCCATTTGTCGAGCCTTTGAGATGATTGCGCGGTACAGTCGTACCATTGGATGCATGTAGTGTGGTTGCAATGCTGGCAGTGGGAGCAGTAGCAGTAGTCGCAAATTGTCCGTTCAACTTCTGCGAACGACTCGTGCTTTCCCAAACGGAAGGCTGCATTGCACTGCCGTTCAATGTCGGTGTCGCGGTCGCGGTCGCGGTCGAGGTCGAGGCACCATTCGCATTAACAAGCCCAGTGGCATACACTCTGGTAGGCTGGATCATTGCAGGAAGCCGTGCCGGCTGACTGCTTTCAGGAAAGACTTGCCGAGCCGAAAACATGGACAATTGTCCCCCGCTACTGGCCATAGTCCCGAGGCTCGTAGGCAAATATGGATTCAACGGGCTAGTATAGGAGACGCGCCCGTTAGGGCCCTGGGGCCCCAGAGAGGCAGCGGTTTTCATACTAGCTGTATGTTCCTCTATCGAACCATGCTAGGTTTGACTATGAGAAATCCCTGACTTCGGGAAGCGAACGGGTTGGCTTGAGGATGTATAAGGTTTCCCTTCGAAGGCGAGTTAGAAAGTCACCACAGAAATTAACGCACGATGCCAGAGGGCCAGAGATATCTATACACAAGAGAGTAGTTGACTTACCCTTGGTCGACACCATTTATATCAGGCTGAGAGGGGATTCGATTCGAAGGTCCTTATCAGCCAAGCCCATGATGCCCCAGTTCCCCCACTGATGCAAGCATTGAAGAGGCAAAATCAGTGGTATACCAACCTTGGAAGATCGCACTTGTAAGCCACAGCAAGACCCTCTCCTTTTCTGCCTCTCTCGCCTATGAGAGGGGGGACCGAATCAAGGGGGAAAGTGAAGGTATTTGCGGAGAGCGGAAAACGAAGAGGAAGCGGCGATAAACGACAGATGGAGATGCATTTCTGGATCGGCGGCATGTTGGCCCGGATCCCCGCCAGTCCGTTCCCGATTCTCTCCCTACGCAGGCCATACATACATACATACGTACATAACTATGATAGATGTGAATATATTTACATGAGTGCTAAATCATGCCATTATTACGCCAATGCCAATTTGATCTTACTCAACAGATGAATTACAAGAAGGCTGAAAGCCACCTGGGATTCTTCGCAGTAGAACCAGTTCCCAAACCAGGAGAACAGGATTCGTGAAGCGTAATAGTCATCACTCTCTCTTTATAGGATACAAGGCATCACTTGTAGGAGAAAACTCTAATCAAGAACAAGGGTCTGATGTATATGAAGTGTGGTCTGTGTCGGGATCCGGCAGTCCTAGAAGCTTCAGTCTCGGCGTACATGGGCATGCAAGGTATAAGTCTCCTCATGCGCACCGTCTTCATCCCGGAAGGCATC